AGGGCAAGGACACCTTCAGCTCGATCAGGTTGCTCATGGAGGTGCACTGGCTGTAAAAATCCCTTAGTGCCAATGGAGAAGTAAATGCATGGTTGTGTTAGTGTAGATGTAAGATCCACTGCAGAGGGAATGTGAGGGAGTGATGTGAGAAGGGACTCCTGGTAGGTTTGGGGTGATGACCCCGGTTGTGGGGGACAGGTCTGTGGGTGCTGGGACCACGTGAGCCAAGTTCTGAGCCCGGCTGCTCCTGCCACACTGCTCCAGCAACAGCCTCCAAGGAGAGTTATTTCCTCTCTGTAGGATACCCAGCAGTGTGTTGGACAAGAAATACTTTGAGTACAGTCAAAATCAATAGAGGACGTGGTGAAGTTAAAGATCACAGCTGAAATGGTGATTCCCGAGACAGAAAATTCATGCTCAGGATCCTCACTTGGAGTCAGCTTGGCAAGCTGGGAGGAGTGATCACAGATGTAGGGAAGATGAAGTGAGCTAGTGGTTGCTTGGCTGAATAGATCATCAGTAATTACCCTTACATGTAAACAAATCAATGTCCAAACCAGTAATGTTCTTCTCTGCTGCTTTGAAGCAGCCGGTTTGATGGGGGTGAGAATTCAGCTGAGCACTCAGGAGCTGTGGACACAGATCTGTGTGCCCAGGAAGGCACAAGCACCAGTAGACGCTTTTTAAAAAATTAAACTCACGGAGGAAAAAAGGGGCAGTTGATAGAAATGACCATAAATTATAAATGAGGCTTTGCAAAAATTACAAAGGAAGAAAAGGGGCATTGACAGGCAGCAGTGTCTGGAATAACAGCCCGAGTTTGGCTCTGCGGTGAACCACGGGGAGCTTGACAGGGTTTGCTGGTCGCGTGGGTAGGAGAGGCAGAAAAGGGAAGGCGTTTGCTGAAAATACTTCTGCCCTCTATTTAAAAAACGCAGAGGATGTTGTTATATCACAGAGGGAGGAATAGATTGGTCCTGTTCCAGTAGAAATTCGGGAGTTTGTCAGGCAGCGATTATGAAATCCAGAATGTTGTTGTTGTTGAGTCGGCAGGTCCAGGAATTAATTCAGAAGCGAGTGTTTGGAGTGCACTGGCCACACGCTCTGCACCAGCACTGCTGACCCTCCACGGGCCCAGGAAGGTGGAGGAAGTTTCCAGGAGGAAGCGAGTGCAGAGTCAGGCACGGCAGCTCTGGGGGACCCGCACTGGGAGCTGGAGCCCTCCAGCTTGGCACAGCTCCTGGGCACAGCAGGCTCGGGAGAGGGGCTGGAGGATGATGTAATGGGGTTTCTGCATAGGGTTTGGAGAACTGGGCCAGCCAAAATAACTTTCTCTCTTCTGATGAGATTACAAGCAGGGCCAATACAGATAATAAAGTTGGTGTAATCATGTGACTGCACGTTGCATGGCAATTTAATTAAGAAACTGCCAGCGCACAAAAAAATCAACACTGTAGACTAAAAGGATTAAAACCCACCCGATGGGTTTGTAAAAAGAATTTTTTACAAACTAAGAGGAGCTGCAGCCATTTGGGCTGTCAGGGTGGATCCCTCCTTGGTCTCCCACTCGTGTCTCCAGTGATGCTCGGTGTGGCCACGCGTCCCCCAGGGCTGGGAGCCCCGGCCTTTGGCTGGAGAGGAGGTCACAGAGCAGGAGGAGCAGGAGGGGAAGGGCAGACTGATCGAAACCATGGAGCTGCCAGCACAGGAGGGAGCGAGGATTGATGAAGGGATCTGTGGGGAACAGGGAAATGAGCTCAGCTGCCAGCACAGCGTGAGGGAAGCTGCAGAGATGGTTGGTTTGAACCTGGCCGGGGGGGACGGGAAGAAGGCCCTCACAAAATGGTGAAGTGTTGAAGTGTTTCAGACTGTCAGCTCAGCTTGGATCAGCAGTGCAAAGCGGGAGCAGAGCCGGGGCTGCAGTGGGGTGCTGAGCTCGTGTGCTCTGCTCGCCCAGAGCCCTGGGCAGGCACAGGGCAGGGGGATCTGTGTGTGTCTGTGCAGCCTCGGGCTGCTGCCTCAGCTGGGGACTTGTGGCCGTGTGAGGGGAGACGGGTCAGTGCTCCCCAGAGCTGTTGGATGAGCAGCCCCTCCATCATCCAGGGCGAGCAGGGCTGTGCATCCCAAACCAGCCCTGCCTGCAGCTCCCCAGGCCCTGCCAGCTGCCCCCGCTCCCACAGAGACCTCACTGCCTGCTCTCGCCTCTTGCTCCGGGCAGAGTGTGCTCCAAAACCTGATTTATGCAAGACCAAATTGCATTTCATAGCACAGTTTAGCTCTGCTTTGCCCTTTTATGTTTCAGAGTTGAATTGCCAGAACTCTGCTGTCTCTGCCACAATCTTCTGTGTTAGAGTAGATTTGATAGAGATAGAAATGATCCATTTATTTACTTTTATTGATGAGCCTTACAGTGGCACATGAGCTTGCAATGCAGAACTCTGCAGCAGCTATGTGAAAACAGGCTCTCTCTGAGCTCCCTGCATGGCCAGGGCTGGTTTTCAAGCCGACAGTATTAAGCCAGACTTCGTGCCTTTGAAAGGTGCTGTTCCCACTAGAGACAGGGAAATGAAAATGCCTTTGGTGTAACACTCTGTACAGCTACAAAAGAAATATTCACAGGCACAGAAACACCCTTATTGCACCCAAGATGAGGTTGTGGTGGCTGTTGGAGGTGCCTCCACAGGCAGGGTGCTGGTTCCAGGCTGTGGATTGACACATGTGGCAAGGTTTTGTCTTTTCTAAGGCTTGTGCGTGTGGTGAGATGGATCAAAATGGAAGCTGGAGGTGCCCAGATCCCAGTTTATCCTGGTTTCCTGGCTCCTGTTGGTGGTTCTTCCTTTGGCCCTGCTGTGTGTCTGGCACTTGCCCTCCTCGTGCCTCGGAGCTGCAGGTTTGCTTTGCGGAGGGAGAGGACAACCCACGGGGCTGTTTGCGAGCAGCACGCCAGGAATAATCACTGTGCTCCTGCTGTGCTCCTGCCGGGGTGCTGGGATGATAAATACACATGTAAATGTAGGAAATACCAGAGATAAAATGGATGACAAATGGGCTGTGCTTCCCCCGCCCGCAGAGGGAAGGAGATGCTCACGATGTGCAGAGGCCAGGGAGGATTCTGAGCTCTGCTTTTGTAACCGTAGGGTAATGAGGCTGCATAAGGAGCCCTGTGGTTTTAGATCTTGCCAAACATAAGTCATTTCCTTACCTAGGCTTTCGTAAATCCAAACAAATGCGTGAGTGAAGGTGAGAGGTGTTTCACAGAGGGCTGAAGCTTTGCTGCCTTTTAACGCCAACATTTGGGGCATCTTTGTGGCCCAGCTGAGCACCACGGAGCAGAACCACAATAATGATTCCTCTAAACATCTTGCCTTTGTGGTTTGCACGCGCCCAGCAGCCCCCACCCCAAACATTTTACCCTCTAAAGCGAGCAGGCTGTGGCTGTGTGTGCGTGTGGGCATCCTGACGTGCTGGATGAACTCACCCGAGGGAAGAGCCTCGTGACTGTGGGGAGGATGACTCGAGGGAGGCTGGCTGCTCTGCGGGGTGTCAATGCTCAGGGAAGGGATTCAGCTGAAAAGCTCAGGCCACATTGCCTGTGCGGGGTGTTGGACTCTCCCTGAGCGGGCGCTCCGGGCAGGAAGCGGGACCGCGGCCAAGGAGAGCGGGAGCGCCGCCGCCCCTCCGGCCCGTGCACTTCAAACATCTGTTTGGTCATCTCCTAATCACACAGCTCTTGCTGCCTGGGCTGCTCATCTGAGAGCTGGAGCTTTGGGGTTTCCTGCACTTAGCTCTGGCCGTGGCAGGTCACACTTGCTAAATGCAGCAGGAGGACAAGTTGAGGGCAGATACTTGACGTTATTTATCTTGACTGATTTGCTCCGTGGATAAAAATGATTGTATAGTCCCATTTCTGCACACAAATACAAATTATAGCTCCCTGCAAATTTAGCTCCAAGTTCATACCACAGGAAAAAGAATTTTCCAGAACACACCGATGATAATTTAGTGTTTTAAAGTTGTGGCTCTGTGATCTGAAATTATGGTGTTGCAGTGCTGTTGTTCTGTAGGGCAATCAGAAAAGGGAGATTCGGAGGAGGCATTTGCACGATAACAGCTGCCCACATATCTGGACAATATGCTGGGTGCAGGTGTTTCCTGGCTGCAGGTATTTCCTGGCTGCAGGTATTTCCTGGCTGCAGGTATTTCGTGGCTGCAGGTATTTCCTGGCTGCAGGTATTTCCTGGCTGCAGGCTTTTCCTCCCTGCATCTGCTGGAAGACAAGAGCTGACTGTAAGTCAGGGTTTTAAAGGTTTACATCTGTGCTCCTGCTGTAGAAGCTTTAAAATCTTCCTTTGCATTTTGCAAGTCCCAAGGGTTTGCTTTGGCTGCTGCTGCTCCTGGCACGACCAGGGAATCTCCCATCCCCTGTGACCCTCACCTGCCCTGTGACCCTCACCTGCCCAAAGGTGAGGGTGAGCTCCAGCCCTGCCCAGAGGCAGCATGAAACCTGCTCATGTGTCCCTCATGGGAGGTTTTATACCCCTGTTATATTTTATCATTCTGGAAGTGTAGGAGCTGTGGGTTTGGTTTGTGTGTGTGTGCCTCTGACCCCTCACGATGCCATCCTGCCCCCACCTGAAGCTCAGTAACCCCATATTTTGGGTAACAAACGCTGCCCTTCCCTCGCCACCTGATCCCCCCCGTGTCTCCGAGGGGCTGCAGGCAGCAGGACTTAGGGGGTGGCTGGGGTAGACCATTTCCTCTGCTAATGGCAGGAGTCCCAGTCATCCCACAGCTCGTTTCAGCTGGGTGCAGAGCTCTGTGAAACCTCTGTGGGGTGCAGATGCTCCTCGCCTGGGTCTGTCCCCCTTTCCTGCTCCGGTGTTGGATACCTGTGCTAAGGGGATGTGAAATCTGACTGTGGGTTGCTTTAGTGAGCACAGCAAGAGTCTCCTGCTCCTTGCAACTTCAGTTCTCCTTTTTCTTCTGTTTTTGCTTTGCAGAGCCGGAAGCATGCCAGCAAAGTCCGCCTCTATTACATGCTTCACCCCGTCGACGGAGGCTGCCCGGCGAAAAAGCTCCGCTCAGAAAACGTGGGTACAATCCAAGTCCCTGTTCATTCAGCTGCTTCGTGGCTCACTGACTCTGGGCCACAGCGTGCTCTCTGTTACGGGCGCAGATGATCAGGTGCCCAGAGGTAACATTCAGATTAGCTGAAATGCAGAGTAGCTGGAAATAATTTTCAATAAACCGCACGAGAATTATGCGCATCAGCAACAGGGGTTGCGTTTTTGGTTATTGGATGTTCTTTCGCAGGACAAAACATGCTGGTAGCAGGTGCCCAGGGCTGACTCCATTTCAGTGTGGTGGCTGGGTTTGCTGGTGAGCACCTGGGGCAGGTGATGGGGGGATGGAGGCTCCAGGAGTGGGGTGGTGGCCACTCTGGGGTGCTGCTGGCAGGGCCTTTGGGGTTGCTGTGCATGGAGCAGCACTGGGGTGAAGTTCCCAGCACGCAGCATCCAAACCAGTTCGGTGTGACTGGGGCTGAGCACTATTGTTATTTACTGAGATATCTTCTAATCAAAAGGGGAAGGGTGCAGATTTTGCCCAAGGAATCTGAAAGCTCCTTCACACAGTAATTAAAACATTAGTGTACATTTCTGTTGCACATGGAGTACTTGGAGTTGCAATCTGCCCCTTGACAACAGGATCTCACTGCATTTTCATTGAGTTATTAATGAAGTGTGAAGGGCTCAGTGGGCAGGCACATACAGACTGGGAACGTGATCCTCCAAGGGGTTTGATTGTGTCTAACAAGGAACCACATACTGCATGTGCATCTCAGCACAGGGATATGGAGGACAGAGAACCAACCAGACCTCAAATAAGTCAAAGTTGAACTATTTCCCATTTTTTTTCTGAAAGGCAACATGGAGAAGGAGTATAATTCTGTGTTTGCTGATGCTTGTGCCAAGGGAAACCCTAGTGGGGGGTGGATTAGTGAGTCCTCGTGCTCTAGGTGAATGCTGGGCTAGGCCAGACCTAAATTCTAAAATTATTTGTGTTATGAAAATATAGCAGGGAAAATCTGCCAATGTTTACAGCTCAAAGTGGGCTCGTTGCTGATCAGATATTACCCAAGCCTTTGCATTTAGAGAGAACAGAACTATTTAGGACATCTCGAATGCTGCACAGTGACATCCCTGCCACGGCCACGTGTGGCTGTGGTGCCTGATCCCAGCAGTGTCGCTGGGCCGTGGCACAGCAACTCTAATGAGTATTAGAAATAATCCACGAAAACCAATTAAATTCGTGCAGAAGTATCTGCAACTTAAAAAAACGAATATTTGCTTTTTTTTTTTTCCCCATCAGGACTGTTCCATGGCTGTGTGCCATTGGGTTTGTGTCCTGCTGAGCACAGAAACAGCACCTTGTCCCTCTGGCAGCAGGAGGGAGAGGCAGCTGCAGTTGTGGATACTCGGTGCAATGGGATCGGAGGCAGCATTTGCTTCCTGACCTTCCTGTGAGGTGGAGGGTAGTGCTGTTTGCTGTTTGAGGGCTGCAGAAACACCCTACATTCCCAAAGCACCCGTTAGCCCTTTGGAGTGAGAAGCAGGAGGCTCATGCAATTAGTCCTGTGCTGGATAAGGACTCGGTTGTTGTGCTCTTCGGTATTGGTTTAATTTTGTGTGGAGGAGGGGAAAAAAACCTCATGGCTTGACCTTCCGTTTTAAATTTCTGCTTAACATTTCAGCTGAAAGTCATCTGAGAAGGTGTCAGGGCCCTGCTGAAATCAGGAGTCCTTTCCTCAAGTCCCAGGATTGGTAAATCAGGTTTAATCAGCCTTTTCTCGCTGCCTTTAACTAACAGGACCCTGTTTATGATCAGAACAGACATGATGAAAATGTCTGATGTGTTATGAAACACATTTTTTTTGGATGGGAGAAAAGCCTTCAAATCCTTTCTAGCCCTATTGGTACTGTAGGATAGTAAATTGCTTTAACCAGCTTCGGGAAAGGGCTCATAACAGTGGGGATGAATGGTCTGAGGGAAGGCAGCAGGATATTAGATTCTGTGGCTGAGGTGATGTGTGTCCTGCCAGGCAGTGCTGGGGGTGGTGGAGCCAAGGGCTGCCTCGGGAGGCTCAGCCTCAGCTCCCCATCAGTGAGGAAATCACAGTCCTGAACCCTTCTGGGGCAGAATTGACCGTGTGCTGTAGCTGAAATCTTCAGCACCTCCACTGAGACCAAGGTGGTTTTAGGGCCAATGTTCTTACTGTGTCTTTTGTACCCTACCACAGGTTTGCAACCAAAGTACCCAGTACTGGTTTAGTGAAAGAAATCAGTGATGGAAGACTTTAGTTCATTCTCCAGCAGGTTTAAATGCCCACAGAGACACAGCTGGGTGGTGGTAGCCGGGGTCTCTTGGGTCATCCCATCCTCCCCAGGCTGCCAGTGGCTCTGCTCCTGCCAGAGTGGGGACTGTGGGACATGTGCTGACCTTGTCACACCCCCACACTTCACTTGGGGCTTGTTGTTTCTCAGTGTTTCAGCTTTAGGGAGCCATAAACTGGCTCTTTTCTTGTGCCATGAGAAAAACAGGCTCCAGAATGGCAATGGCCTGAATTTCCTATGGAGCGTTACAGAAAGCAGCCCTTTAATAGCAGCACCTTCATGCACAGAAAATTAACCCAAATTTAAAAGTTATTTTGCAGTGCTTTCAGTGCTGTGGTTTATACTGCTGTATTCAAGGGCTTGTATAATCTTTTCTTCTTAGTAAAGCCTAGGAAATGAAGACAGCAGATTTGTATCTGTGGAATAAAAATCCTTACTTTTCCTGTGGATTGCTTAAGGAACACCCAGCAAAGGGCTGCAAGTGCCTGACCCTGTGTGGGGATTATGCCTTTTAGCAGCTTGTTAACAGGCAACCGAATAACTGAAGTTAATTCTGTTGGATGTACCAGACTGGCTTTGAAGTTTCTAATATCACAAAAAGAAGCCCTATAAATTAGGCTGGCTCGGCACAGCTGTGGAGGAGGGGGAAGAGGTGGGATGGCAGTTTTGGGAGATGGATGCTCTGACTGCCAGCCCGTGGTGTGTTCTGTTGTGTGAAGCTCCTGTGCTGTGTCATGGCCAAGGTTCGGCTGGAGAAGGCTCAGGGAACGAGGGGTGGAAATGTTCCCTGGCTGGGCCTGGCAGCAGAGGGGCAGGGAGCTGCTGGGTGGGTGTGTGGCACCTCAGAGGAGCTGTCAGTGCCCGTTCACTGCTTCAGCCTGGGCTGGCACAGGAGCTGGGCAGGGATGGGCAGGGATGGACAGGGATGGGCAGGGATGGGCAGGGATGGACAGGGATGGGCAGGGATGGGCAGGGATGGACAGGATGGGCAGGGATGGACAGGATGGGCAGGGATGGGCAGGGATGGACAGGGATGGATAGGGATGGACAGGGATGGACAGGGATGGGCAGGGATGGACAGGGATGGGCAGGGATGGGCAGGGATGGACAGGATGGGCAGGGATGGGCAGGGATGGGCAGGGATGGACAGGGATGGGCAGGGATGGACAGGGATGGGCAGGGATGGACAGGATGGGCAGGGATGGACAGGATGGGCAGGGATGGACAGGGATGGGCAGGGATGGACAGGGATGGGCAGGGATGGGCAGGGATGGGCAGGGATGGGCAGGGATGGGTGGGTGCATCCCCGGGGACCAGGCGCTGCCCTGTGCCCCGGCTCGGGTGTCCTGGCAGACAAGGCGTGTGATTTCACCAGCTGGCTGCACAATCCTGTCAGCGCCGTGTCATTCAGGGGCTGACAAAAGACACCCGGCTCGGCTTTCCCGGCCCCTCCGGTTACAGGTAAAACAGCCGCTGACAAATGAGACGGCATAATTACCCTTCAGGGCTGAGCAGCCTCTGGCTCCGTGCAGGGCCTGCAGGGTGGAGGAGGGAAGGGAGGGGATGGTGGAGGAGGGAAGGGAGGGGATGCTGCTGGCAGAGGATACGAACATGGGTAAATGCTTAACAACACCTGAGCCCAAACACCTCGTGCACCCTGCTGAGGAGGAGTGGTTCTTGGTGTGTGCAGCTGGCTGTGAGGGAGCAGAGGTCTGTCATGTGCGTGCAGAGGGACTCACAGACCCACCAAGAGTTTGGGGGTGACCCTCCTCCCCTGCCCACTCACTGAGGTGCCCACCCAGAGACATGGGTGAACCCGGGTGAGCTGTGCAGTGAACTGTGGGTCGGTGTAAATGGGACCCTGGGCTCTACGTGAGGTGTTGAAAGGGTCTTTGAGGGGGGTTTTATTTTCTTCTTTTTAACTGCAGTCTAGCTGAGAAAGTAGGTTGGAAAGGGAAAAGTGTCACTGAAGAGCAGCCCTGGCAGAGGAAGAGACCCTGGTGCATTAACACCGAAGTGTATCAGCTTTTCAAACGAGCTCTGTTGGAGGCTCTTTATATGTTGCCACCACTGATGATCAATAGAGTCTGGAAATTTTTTACTCTGCTCTTAACTTTCAAGTGATTCCCTTTGAAGACATAAAATATCTTGAGAGAAAGCTATTTAAAAGAAGTGCAAATTACACTCAGAACAGTACTAATCACCTCTTGAGATTTCTCCCTAAGGTTTAAGTTGATTTACAGTTATCAACAACAAAAAAAGTGATGAAAATCAGTAATTTTTCTAATAGTGCTTTTCTGGGGGAGAAGATGACCTTCAGTGGTGGGTCAGGTGGGTAGGTTCACCCAGAGCTGGTGTCAGATCCTGCTGAGGGGACATGCATGATTCTGGCCAGTTCATTTGCTTCTCCCACCTGCACAGAGGGTTGTGCCCCCCAGGTCCCGTCCCCCAGGGGTTTTGGGGTCTCCTACAGAAGTGCCTCGGGGGGAAGTGCTGGTGTCAGAGGGCAGGGAAAGCTCCAGGTCTGCGGGACCTCAACCAGAGAACAGGAATATAGGCTGAGGGAAGGGAGGCTGGGGGATGTGCCAGGAGCCCTGTGGTTGTGGAGACACAGGTACAGGCTGAGCTCCCAGCACAGAGCAGGGTGAAGGTGCTGGGCAGTTGGAGGTGTCCCCTGGGCAGGGCTGGGACCGGGCAGGAGTGAGATTCAGAGACACGAGGAAGGGAAACCTCTTGGCAACCATGGCCTTGGCATAACGACCTGGATTCCTCTCTTCCTTCTCCGTGACTGTGCTCGGTGGGCTTACACACCTCTTTTTTTGTCTGTGTTTTTGTCTCCACCCAGGGCAGTGATGGTGACTCAGTGGATAAGAACAAATGCTGCACACTATGTAACATGTCCTTTACCTCAGCAGTGGTGGCTGAATCGCATTACCAAGGGAAAATCCATGCCAAAAGGTTAAAATTGTTGCTAGGGGAACAACCAGCATTAAAGGCCACAGGTAGGTGCAGAGGCAGCGAGCGGAGCAGGAGGGGCTGGCGTGGGGGGCACGGTGTGTGCGGGCAGAGATGGGCACAGCCTGGATGGCTGAGTGGTGGTGGCTGGCAGAAACAGCTGTTCCTTTGTGTTGCTGTCATAACAACCTTTAAAAATTGCTGATGCTCGTTATTGTCTGCTTTGTTGGTGCAGATGAGGGGTTTGTCAGCCGGGGCTGGCCCTGGGGTGAGAGCCCTGTCTCTGGCTCCATGCTTCCCGAGGGTTTTTGCTCGTGGAAGACAATGTCTCTGCTGGGCACAGAGAGCCAAGCCTGGCTTTAATTATCAGCAGTTACTCGACAGCTCCGCTAATAAGTTTAATAAACCTTTGGTGTTGCTGTACAGAGCAGAGCATAAGCTGCGCTTACCTCAGAGGGAAATCCAGGCTTTAAAAACTCTTAGATTGATTGTCTCTTGATTTTTGCCCAGATGGGTTTTGTGCTTTCCTCCACAGTGGTTCCACTAATGCAAACCTATTAACTTTCACATTTAAAAAGTCAAGTGTTGGAATCGGATAATTTAACCATCTTATTGTTTGCTTAACCATAAAGTCCCTGAAAAACACTGATAATCTGTGGAAAAAAAAAAAAATTCCTCTGTTGTTGTGGGGACCGAGAATGCTCGAGCAAAGCACTCCCTGTTCTCCAGGAAGGATGCCTGGGCTGAGGTCCTGCAGGCAGATGTGACCCAGAATTGCTGCCCTGGCCCTTCCATTTCAGGGAATAGCACAGAGGGTGATTCCCATGTGAGCTGATGATTTGGATTCTCCCGTGGGGACTGTGCAGGCAGGTACAGGGACCACAGGGCCCGGCCAGGGCAGGGCTTGCCAAGGGCTGCAGCCTGGCACTGTGTTTTGGTCTCACTTTTGAATCATCTGGATCAGCCTCACAAGGCTCTAAGTGAGCCACACTTGGTGCTCCAGAGTAATGGGCTCTTCAGCCATCCTAATCACTGGGAAGGAGTAACTCAAGGACTCATCAGCTCTTCCAGGCACTTGATCTGGAAGATGAAGCTGAGCTCAGGAATACATTAATAAGCACCTCCTTGCTCTCCAGGAGTTCTCAGAGATGAGATGAGATGTGCTGGACACAGCATTTTTCTGGGCTTCCTAAAATCACCCAGCATTTTTCCACTGGATTTTTGTCCCAGTCCTTTGTGTCTGGCACCAGGGAGCTTTAATTCTGTCAGACAGAGCTTCAGAGACTCCAGTGCTCGTGAGTCTTGGGAGTCAGCTAAGCACAGCCCTGAGTGTGCTGGATGCTCCTGGGGAAGATATTCTGCTGCTTGATATTCTGGGGTTTCTGTCTCATCAGTCCTGAAGAAAATCACATCTAGTCTCAGTCTCCTTGCAGAGATACACCTTCCCCTTCACTGTTACCATCCAAGTGGAACACAAATCTCGTTCTCTGCCGGTGCTTCCAGGAAAGGGAGAAGTGCCCCAACAGTCGGGTTTCTCACGGAAACGATGTCTCATCATGACAGTGAGGTAGTTGTGATCTTTCCTGTTGCTCTGCTCTACAAGGTTGTACCCCTCAGAGGCTTTATGTCACTGCCATTGCTGACGAATTCCTCTAGTCATCTCCAACATCCTCTGTCAGCTTGCATCCCATCATCACCAGGAGCTACAAACCAAAGAATTGGGGGGGAAAAAGCTGCTGCCTTCATTGATCCGAGCGCGGGGGCCTGCAGGGATTGTTCCAGGCAGGTGGCAATAGTCCTGGCTTTGGGACACCAGGGGGGGCAGAGTAAATGGCTTTTGGGTTTGGATGCAAGGATCTGTCCAGCAGTGGCTGGAGTCTGCCTTAGTCCCAGATTTCTGGGATTTCTTCTGAAGAAAACCGAGTTTCCCCAGTGCCCCCTTGTTGTGGCTCAGTTATTTCTTGTCCTCATGCTGGGTTCCTGGAGCGTGCCAATGGAAAAGTTGGGTGCCATTTAAATCCAGCTCAGAATAAAAAGCTTTGGATGTGAGAAAGAAGTCAAACGTTAGTTCATCGCTGGAGTGCTAAAGTGTTTCTAACTTTGTATTTTGCCTCTTGCAGCAAAGTAAGACTTTCTCACTTCCCTCCCACAGTGAAAGGGAGCGTAAGGCAGACTGTCATGAGCTATTTAGCATTTTGAAATACTTGAAATAGTCAAACTCGCAGCTTTTATGTTTGTGTTTTAGATGGAGAAACATTTTTAACGTTTGACGTTTTGTGAGCGTTTATTATTAATTTTCGTGTCGCTGCTCGGGGAATGATGGCATTTGCTGTTCTGCAGCAGTTATGTAGCACATATCAAACCAATGAATCCACATTTGGGGAGAAGTCAGTTTTCATCTGTTTCCCTTCAGGAGGATTTGGTGAATTTGGGACGTTTGCATTAACTGCCAGGCCAGCTCAGCACACCTTAGGAGTGGTGGGGGTTGTCAGTGGGACCTGAGGAGAGTGACTTCACAAGCAGGTGTTTTGTGCTGAGAGGAAATCCCTGCCTGGGGCAGCCCCTCTGTGGTGTGGGCAGGGGGTCCCCGCCGTGGGGCTGCAGCCCACGGGTTCAGGGGGAGCCAGATGTGGTGGTGGGCTTGGAGCAGGGCCGGGGTGGGCATGGGGGCTCTGGTGCCACCCCACTGACAGCCTCCTGCCAGCCTTTGGGGCAGCACAAGCCACCAGCCTGGGGAGGGCTCAGAGGCACAGCCACGGGGCTGCTGGGCCAGCCTGGGGCTGAGAGCAGAGATGCTGCTGTCGGGTTCCCTTAGTGAGTGGGAGATGTAACTCCTGCAGACACCACCAGCTCCGTGAGCTTCAGCCTCCCTGGTTCCCCTCCGGCCTCAGGGAATGTAGAAACAGGGGAAAGCTGACCAAAAGGGTGGATAGATTTAACTTCACAGCCTGGGGCTTGCAGAGCAAGTCAGATCTGTCAGAGTTCCGGGGCTGCCGAAGTCACTGGTTGTTTATAATGGTCTGAACATCTCTGCAGCTCAGTCTGGTGCCCCAGCACAGCCCAGCCCTGTCCTGGGGCACTGCAGAGGGTCCCCCTGGCATCACTGGGGCTGTTCCCAGTCCCTGTGGCATCACTGGGGTCTGGGCATGGGCCCATTCCTGCAGAGGGGCTCCTCAGGGAGTACAGAAACGTGTCTGCAGCAGGCAAGCTGTGCTTCTTTTTGTGAGCCAAGCACCTGCAGAGTCTGTGTAATCCCAGTTTGGAGAGGCAATATTGCAGTTCCCTCATTTTTTTCCTAGTGGCTGTGCTGGCCCCTGGCTCTGCTCTCCTTGCACCTGCAGTTCTGCCACGTGCACCTTGGAGGGGCTGGGCTGTGTCTCTCCTGTGGAAACTGTAGGAAAGGTGTTGTTTTTAGGAGCCAAATCCAGCTGGGCCCTGCCTGGCCCTGCCCCTGCCCGGAGCAGCTCTTCAGAACTCTGATACCTTGGCAGTCGTCACCAAAAACAATAGAGGCTTACAAACCCCTGGAAACTGAGAAGGTTGTTAGTAATGTTATATGCAAGATAGAATTTCCTCGAAGGAAGTTAATAGATGAGCAGGTCAGCAGAAGATTTATAACAATATTAACTTTCTCAAGCCATGGACTCAATCACAGTGGGCTCCAGGCATGACTGTGTGCCTAAATATATCCCTGTGTTGCCATTCCTGGTGTCAGACACTGAGGTGGGTTTGGCATTCTCTGCCCTGTGTGCTCATCAGGGCTCAGCTGGATCACCTCCTGATCAAAGGGAGCCACCACGTGCCTCTCGCCGCCTCCAAATGTGCCTGTTCCAGTGCCACGGAGAGAGCAGGCTGTTAATTATTTAGGGAGCAGACATTTCATCTGGAAAAGAAAAGGAAAACCACATAAAAGGGAATTTTTGAACCAAGTGTGATAATTAAGTGCTCGTCATTGTATATTTTTGTATCACAGTGTTGTCTGAACTTTATTTTACTTTAAACTGTTTTTCCGTGGCTCTGTGACTTGTACTGTACAAAGTTGGGGAACTGTGTTGAACAAGGTGCACTCCATTATATAAAGACTAATCACCCATTTTTATTTGGAATGACTGGGGGGTCATCTTTGTGCTCCTGGATGGGCTGGAAAATGGAATTAAGTTAAGATCAGGGTTGCTGGTACCTGACAGTTCACAATGTGAAGGTCTTTGAAAGATGGGACTGACTACTGAGTATTCTTTTTTCATCTATGACAATTTACAGTGACTACGGCTTTCCCTGTTCTTTCTGAGACCAAATAAATTAAAAAATAAGAATCCTGAGATAGTGATAAATCTGTCTCTCTGTCGTGAGAAGGAGATGGCTCTGCATGGTGTATTTATTCTCCATCGGTGATTTTTCCTTGGAGTAGCAATTCAAGCAGGATAAGTTTAGCAGATTTAGTCACAACAGTGGTAAGAAGTGTAACTGAACTGAGAGCATCCTCCTTCCCCAGCTACTGAAACTCAGAAAGCCGAGGAACAGTCCCGGGCTGTCCTTTCATGCTGCTTTTTTTAATGAGAAGTGGTAGATTTCCAAGCAGCGCCATCCAAAATATCCACTGGGACCCTGTAACTGCTGCTAATTATTCCCCGTGTCTAATGTGGGATCTGCCTCGGGCTCTGCTGCTACTCAGGCAGCAGCACAAGCCTGGAAAGCTCATGTCTGAACGTTGCCTTCTTGCAGAAGCCGCCCTGGGCTCGCTGAAGGCGCCGCACACGGACAGTCCCCCGGCGGTGCCGTCCCCGCCGCAGCGCCGGGACTCGGACAGGTACTGCCAGCTCTGCACAGCCTGGTTCAACAACCCCCTGATGGCACAGCAGCACTACGACGGCAAAAAGCACAAGAAGAACGCGGCCAGGGCTGACCTCCTGGAGCAGCTGGGCAAGACCCTGGACCTGGGGGAGCTGAGAGGTGAGGGAGCGGCACGTGGAGATGGGGACCTGCTCCCCGGGGGATCCGGTGACCCTCGCCCGCTGTGGTCACTGCTGCCCTGCTCCAGTGGTGCAGGGACCCCGGGGTCCTGTTACTGCTTCCTGAGGTTCCCACCTCTGTGAAAAAAGATCCCCTGCTCCAGGGTGCCAGCCTGCAGCGTTAGCAGCATCCTTTCGAAGTTGTTTCCTAGGTATCTCTTCTGCCTCCTCCTGAAATAGTCCCTTCCACTGGCACACACGCCTGTCCTCGAGCAAGTGTGGCCCATCCCTGGGAGAGGAGAACACGTTGGAGCGCTTGGCCCCACGAGGACAAGGGGATGGGAGGATGTTGCTGGAGGCAGAGCACTCCCTACGTGTCCCTGAGGGAGAGTGGGACAGAGCTGTCTGCTGTGATTTAATTAGTGCTTGTAAAACACTGCGGTGGCCCCGGGGCCGCACAGCCAGAGGAGCTGAGCACTTGCTGCAGGGATGTTAAACACAAGTTTTCTGTGTTCCTGCAGAAAGGAGAGCAGCCTTCCTCTGTCTGTCTGTCTGTCCCTCTGTGCTGGCCCCATGGGGAGGGGCTCTGGCACCTGTAGGTCCCTGTGGGGGCTGTGCCCCGGGGTCACACAGGTTTGGGCTTTGCACCCCTCTGGGAGCTGCTCTCGTGCAGAGCAGAGCCACAGCCCCCCGGGACCCCCAGGCCCTCCCGAGCCTGTGGTGGGAGCTGTGATTTGTGCCGTGTCCAGGACTGAATCCTGACAGAGCACAGGTTTGCTCTGAGGGGCAGGCACAGGAGAGGCACGAGCCTCTTGTCTCTGGGGTCTGGGTTATGATCCCCTGTGCAGACCGAGGCAGCTGAGGGAGAAGGGCAGGTTTGATTCAGAGCCATGTGGGAGAGGTCTGGTTTGCCAGTGAGGCTTTGCAATAACATTTTAAAATACCTGGTTTTTTTTTTCCTTGCTAAATGAAATAATTTCCCTTTAGATACTAATGACTATACAATATATTGTGCACTTCTTGATCTCTCATAAACCTTGTAATGGTTATCCAGATCCTCCTGTGCTACCTAGTGTGACTCACGGTGTCATCAATGATTCATGGGGCTGAGTCACTGCCCGCTGCTGGAAGGATGTGGGAATAAAACCTGGGACAATAACATGGAAGTGCTCGGTACTTTGAACTGTGCCAAGCTCCAGAGTGGCCGAGGATGTCATTAACTGTAAATAAATCAGTTGTGAAGTGTTTTAGTCATTTATCTTGTGCCCGGGAGAGTTGAAAGTGGAGGCCTTCACAGCCTCATCAGCCACTGGTTTTTACCCTCCCGGGGTGCTGTGCATGGCTGGGGTTTGCAGCTGGGTCCAGTGTGGTCCCTCCGGAGCTGGGGGTGGCAGGAGAGGGGACAGCAGAGCTGTCCTGGCTGTGTGTGTGCCTGGTGCAGGGGAACAGCTCTGGCCCTCTGGTTGGACACTCCAGGGTGCTGTTTTGGGGGCTGCAGCCTGTGGTGCTCCCCAGCACCAGGGAGGTGCACAGCCAGGGAGCCAAAGGGGCTGTCCCTGAGCCCATCCCTGAGCCTGTCCCATCCCTGAGCCTGCCAAGCTGGGAAAGCTTTTTTCCACTTTTTCTTAACTAGGCCATGTCCATCTGTCCATCTCTGTCCCTCCAGAGATGCTCTCCTGGATGCCCTCAGCTGCCAGCCCAGAGCAGATCCTTACAGGTGTTGAAGGCAGTGGCTGCCTCAGTTTTCCCTGGAACGCAAAGTCATCCCCTTCCCCTGCATCCCTGGTGGCTTCTCCCATCACAGCTTAAATATTAATTCTATTTTGACTAGTGTGGGAGACGAACATTTGATGCATTGTGTGAGCCTGGAATAAGCAGTGTCAGTTGAAGTACAACATTTCAGCAGCCTTTGATGTTGTGATAATGGCTGTAATAAAATATTTATTGATAAATATGAACGTGTATTTGGAGAAATAAGAATAGAGATGTATTTTTGGACAACTGATATTTATAGGAAACAAAAACATTGATTCTTCTCACCAAGTGCTCATCTTGCAATTTTGAAGTCTTATTTTCTTCTCAGAAATGAGAAAGAGGAGGGAAAAAAAGAAAAAGGAGAAATGAGCACCATTTCTGCAGTGTGTGTGTTGTGTGTTGAGTTAAAGCTGCAGCACAGGGGAGTGCACAGGCACAAATCCCTGGGCTGAGTGGAGGGCAGGGTCCAGCCCTCTCTCTCCGAGCAGCTCCATCTGTTTTCCAGCCGTGGCACTGAGCTGCTCCAGGTCCCCCTGCTCCCAGGGCTGGCCTGGACCCCCCTCTGCTCCTGCTGGGCAGGGAGGGATGTGGGCATAGACTGAAAGAGGGAGAAATTAGGAGTTCTCTTCCTGCAGAGCTGCCTCCCCTGGCTACCCCTGAACCCTGGCACGGATCATAGAAAGACAAAACCTGGTGGGTACCAAACCTCGGATTCCAGGCTCTGCCCCCACAGCTCTGCCTGTTCAGCAGCAGGAGTGGCCGTGGCTCGGGCAGAGGCACTGGCACGGCTCCATCTGGCAGCTCTCGCCCTCCCCAGCCTGTGCCAAGCACAGGGAGGGAGAATGGCAGGTTCTCTCTGTCAGGTCACACCTCACCAGTTTCAGTCCACGTCTGGTATCCCCCATGGCTGAGCTCTCGTGTTCCCTCTCCGAGGCAGGTTGGCTCCTCAGGGGCAGGTGGTTTGTAATGGACTCTGCCTGGTGCTGGGGCTGAGTCAAACTCTGCAACAGGTGCCCTGAATCCCTAAAAGAAAGCACAGCAGCCTTTGCAGTACGGCAGGACAAGGGCACAGGGATGTTGTCACCTGGAGCCTTTGTGTTCTCAGGTGTATTGGCAGTGTTGCAGATGCTGTCTTGCAGAATCAGGCAAAGAGCTGAGTTTCATTTTCTATCTCGTCTCATAATTTCTTTGTATGCCTTATAAATACTTCTCATTCTGTTCTGTCACTTGTGGTTAGTAAGAAGCAGTTTAACAAGAACTCCCCTGGAATGGGTTTTAATGCATTTTATGCAGAATGACATTAATGACTTGGCTTGTTAATATTTCATTTAATGGGGATAGGAGGACATTCAATTTTACATGAATGCATGTCACGCTGCAGGGGAGGGAATGCTGATGTGCCATGAGGATGCAAAAGGGAATGTGAGCACAGCCAGAGCCCAGCAGCTCCTGGCACAGACTGCCCAGGCTGGGACCACCTTCCCATTGCAGATGGCCCGTGGGGTTGAGCTTCAGTTTTATGGAACCAGTTTCAGCCAAGTAGCAGCTTTGGTGAGCTCCAGTGGGATGAAGTTCTGGTGGTGCTGGTGTCCTGGAGGTGGTTATTGCACAGCCAGAGCCTGGTTAATTAACACTCTGGGTTTTCCCCGCAGGCCTGAAGCGCAGCTACACCTGTAACCTCTGCAGCGTCACCCTGAACTCCATAGAGCAGTACCACGCGCACCTGAAGGGCTCCAAACATCAGACCAAGTGGGTATTGTCACGCTGCTCCCCTGGGCTCCAGCCAGGCTGGGTCTGCTGGGCTGGAACTGCCTGTCACGGGGCTTTGCACTGCGACAGCCTGGTCAGCAGAGGAGCTCTGGGGGCTGGGCTGGGCTCGGGGGGCTCTGGAAACACAGAGGCCCCCCCAGCTTGAGGAACACATGGGCTTCCTGGAGTCCTGCTGGCTCGTGGTTAATGATACCAAGTTTGCAGCTTCTTTCATGTGTGAAACCTCAGAAGAGACACCGGGAGTGTAATGGGATTAGGTGTTTCCCAGTGAAACTGTTTTTGCTGTGATTTAGAGCAATTAGGCATTACCCAGCTCCGAGAACTGGGGGGAGTCTGCTCTGTCAATTAGTACAAATTATTAAAATGAAGTGATGAAGATACATGGTACCAGAGAGTAGATTAATAAACTAATCGCTCTTAATGCACTTACATGTGAGCTTTGGGAACTGTTTCAGGCTGGAGCACTCAGGACTGCCCAGATTAGGAGAGGAATATAAAGGGATATACCTGAAGTGCTTCAGGTAGCTTTGAGGGCAGTCTGAAAGGTGAGCAGGATGAGCAGAACCAGCAATAACCACTAATGGCTCATTTGGCTTAAGCCAGCAAAGGATAAACCCAGCCCTTCCCCAGATGATGTTGGACCTTCCCAGATTATTATTGACAGATTCCTTATTATTCACGTGAGTTCTGTCCTATTTATTCAGGGATTTTGAATGTCTGTCAGACGTGGTGACCCAGCACACCTGCCAGTGCAGGTTGTTGTGGAGCAGAGGGCAGGGGCCAGGCAGAGCTGTGGCTTTGGGCTGGGCCAGGAGCAGTCTGGGACCTTCAGCAGCTCCTTTGCTGCCTCCATCTCCCTTTCTCCTCCAGCCCTTCCCCCTGGTGGGCTATCCCTGCTTGGCCAGGTTACAGTGAGGACAGTGTGGACAGGGTTGGGGTCTGTACCCAGTGCAACAAATTCCCACTGCTGGAAAATAGAGCCAAGAGCTCTTCCTGTGGGAAACCTGGAATGAGAGCATCTGTGCTGAGCTGCCTGGGCCCAGAGCTGTAATTTATCCTTCCCCTGCCGGTCCTTCCGAGCCTGTATGATTATTGCTGTGGTTGCTGCTGGTATTACTGTGAAGGATAAAGGAGTTCATCTCAAACCACAGCAGCCTCATGCATGGGAAATAGAGATGTGCAGAAAGATGTGCCACCACTTTGCAGTGCCAGGAGGGTGCCTGGTCCTCTGAGTTATCCCCACACCTGCTCTGATGTGCAGTCTCCTGCAATTAGCAGAGATGAAGAAATCTTAATTTCTAGTGCTGGGGACGAACACCTTGGGAAGTTATTTGTGCTGTGGCTGTTGTAGGAGTGCTGTATCTGTTGTAGGGAGTGCTGTATCTGTTGTAGGAGTGCTGTATCTGTTGTAGGGAGTGCTGTATCTGTTGTAGGAGTGCTGTATCTGTTGTAGGAGTGCTGTATCTGTTGTAGGAGTGCTGTATCTGTTGTAGGGAGTGCTGTGGCTGTTGTAGGGAGTGCTGTGGCTGTTGTAGGAGTGCTGTATCTGTTGTAGGGAGTGCTGTGGCTGTTGTAGGAGTGCTGTGGCTGTTGTAGGAGTGCCTGGCTGTTGTAGGAGTGCTGTATCTGTTGTAGGAGTGCCTGGCTGTTGTAGGAGTGCTGTATCTGTTGTAGGAGTGCTGTATCTGTTGTAGGAGTGCTGTGGCTGTTGTAGGAGTGCTGTGGCTGTTGTAGGAGTGCTGTATCTGTTGTAGGAGTGCCATGGCTGTTGTAGGAGTGCCTGGCTGTTGTAGGAGTGCTCTGGCTGTTGTAGGAGTGACTAATGGCACGTGTGCCCTTGGCTCAACCCGTTCCCAGTGCAAAGGGATGTGCTGGGCAGCGCAAACAATGGATTTTGGCAGGGCTGCATCTGTGTTTCTGTAGCTTTCTCCGAGCAATTACCTCTTCTATACAAAGAGAGAGAATCTGGAAATCCAGACCCGGTCCTCTGCCGAGTTTCCAGAGCCATGATGTCCCACTGGGCCATTGCAGCACCGTGGCTCCCAAGGGTGCTCTGCACTGGGGGACGGGTGAGGATCGTCCCCTCCTTGTACCTTGGCCAGTGTTTTCCCACTGGTTTCTGCTGTTCTCATTATTGTTGGTTAATGTCAAGACTGTCCTCTGCCTCGTAACTCAGGCTGAAGCCAGTGGACTGCAGTTACCAAGGCAACAAAACATTTTATGTAGCTGTCATACTTCATATAATTAAAAACTAAACAGACCCGAAGAAGGGGGCAGCAGTTTGTGAAGGAAATGGATGAAGGGATACAGGGATTTTGCTCCTGGACAGGTGAGCAGGGAAGGTGGTTGCATGGTGGAAGCTGGTACCACCCAAAAAATACCGGGCAGACGTGTTCCCAGGACCCTGTCACTGCCCCACACGGGGCTGGGGGTCCTGCAGTTCCATGGGCAGCACAGAATTTGGGGGTCATGTCCTGGGCAGTCTGGTGGGCAGGGCTGAGCCGTTCACAGGAATTTCAGGGGCTTCCCCGAATGTTTCTGACTACATTTGTTTGACCAGAACAGGGAAAATAGGGCTTGGGAGGGAAGCTGGAAGTGTCTGGGCTTGTGTTTTGGTGTTGAATAAAAGATGCAGGAGGAGGGAGCTAATACTGAGCCAGTCCTTATCCCTCCGGCCAGTGAATATGCAAAGCAGATACATCTGCCAGCTCCCATCTTTTTCTCCAGGGTGCAGGTACTTGAGCTGTGTATTTGAAAATTAAGGTAAAATGCTGCCTTGAACGTGTGGGAACGTGCTCTGCTCGGGCTCTGACGGGAGATGCACGGAGCAGGTTTTGGGATGTGGATGGACTCTGGAACATCTGCAGCGGGGAGGAGCACTAAAACCTTTAATTAGGGATTTATGAACTGCGTAGAGATGATTGAGTCATTGTTTGACTTGCTTTCCAGAAATAGATGTGGGTTTTTTTAATCTCCTCCCTCCCTCCCTCCCTCCTCCCCCCAGAGGAGCAGTGGAGCAGCAGTGCTGGGCAGGGTGCCAGGCTGAGCCCTGGTGGGCACCAGCAGCTCTGTCCTGGGGGGACCAGCAGCAGCCAAAATGCCAGCTGTGAAGGTGTCCTCCAAAGGGTTGGGAGGGAAGCACGTGCCAGCCTGGCTCCTCACTGCTTGCTGTGGGCTGGCAGAAACAAAACCTCCCTCTTTTCTGCTTTATGTAAACTGCGAAGGGGAGAAATCGCTGCTCAAAGTGATTTGCAGCGAACAACAGGGATTAAAGGTCCCAGGTAGCTGTGGAAGGAGCCAGAGGATCCTCCAATTCCACGGGTCAGAGCAATGCTTGTGTGGAATGTTTACCCTGGGGCTTTGCAAAAAGCATTTCCCTCCTGGCAGGGCCTGGGGACAGGCTGGGGACGGGCTGGGACATTGCTGAGGCCAGGACAAAATAGCTGCGTTTGGGGAAGATGCTCCAGAGGGCCTGGGCCTGGGTCTGAGGCAGCTCCTCAGGGCGGGTGGGTCGAAGGACCAGAGAGCCCAGACCCACATCTGGGGTCAGTGCCATCCCTGGGCTGGCTGTGGATCCATCACACGTTGCAATAACGTGCCAGGGAGTGGGAGCTGGGAGCTGGGAGCTGAGCTGGGAGCTGAGCTGGGAGCTGAGCTGGGAGCTGAGCTGGGAGCTGTCCTCCACCACTCGGGCTGTCAGTGATGGGAGGCTGAGATCCAGCCCTAGTAATTAAGAGTCTGACTGTGTGGGGATAATGATTACCACTTCCATAAAGAAGAATTTTCTCTTCTCGCCTTCATTTTGTCTCTTTGATCAGCCAGGCCTCTCTGCCACATCTAGAGCTCACAAATGTATTCCGGGGTTTTATAACCACTCATTTACGCTTTCCTGGATGCTAATACACGTCTGGGTTTCCCTTTCCAGCTCTAGGTTCCTGATTAATTTTAGGGCTTTTGCAGAGAGGGGACCCGATCCTGCAGCTGTCATTGGGGTAAAACCAATGCAGTGGTCAAAATGAATTCTAAAGAGTTGGGAATGGTCATGCCCAGTCGGGGAGGTGGCTCTGCAGCCCTTCCTGCACAGCCCTTCGTTGACTTTGGGCTGCACCCTGTGGAAACCCAGATGGTCGATGTCCTGCTGAGGAGCAGGGCCAGCAGGCTTGGGCCTGGGTGGGCTCTTTCCTCTTTCCTTTTCTTTCCTTTTTTTTTTTTTTTCCCTGGTTGAGAACCCAGATGCCTAATTGGAGCAGGGCGTTTATCACCATAAGCTGCTTGGCTATTCAGGAATCAGAGCTAATCAAAATAGTGTAAATATCGTGCCTGGAGAAATGTCAGCCTTCCCCATGGCTGCGTCTCCCTCGCTTCTCCCGTCTGTTTAGGAAGGTGTGAACAAATATTGACAGCCTGTTGTGGCTGCAGCTCGTCCTGGGGTCTGTGTGTCTGGCACAGCCGACGCCTGGGCAGCTCCATTTGGGGCACATTTGATGCCAAGCAGGGTTTCTGTTCCCTCTGGGTGTTTCCAGCCCTGTCTCCAGTGCCAGAAGGTCGGGCTCCTCCTGGGCACCCTCACCCAGAAGGAATGGGTTCTTTGATAAAGGATTTCCAATACGTTTCTGGAAACTGGAGTAAATCCCCGAGTCCTACCATGCACTACACACCCAAGCCAAATGAGTTTGCTCTTACCTTGGTGGCTGCAGCTTTTGTTGGTAAGAGTAACATTTCCATGTGCTTTCTGTAACATGTGGTGTCTGATGCCTAAAGAAGCCTTTAGATCAATAGCAGCTCCAGAAGATGAATAGTTATAAGAGGTAGATAGAATTGAAAGGCATTTTAATTTGTCATTGTTTCAGTTCCAGAGAGCAGCTGAATAATTGCACTGCCTGTGAAGAGAGTGTGTAATACTTTCTCTCATTATAGGTCTAAATTGCCTCCCTTCCCTTTTAATGTAAGTGAAAATAAGATATCTCTGATATCTTCTGTTTTGATCGTAATTTGAAAGCCCCAGAATGACCTGTGCAACTTTGTGTCATGGTGTCAGGTGTACAGATTAATTTTTCTAATGTAAAGCCCAAACACTGGGCTGAGTGCTCAAAGCACAAACCTGAGCTTGCCAACACCAATTCCAGTTCTCATCAGCTGGGCCATGGAGGGGGGCAAGTTGGGCAGGGTTTGTGAGGCTCTTAAATTCGAGTTCAGAATCTAGAGAAAGGATACTTTTTCTGAATTGCTATGGGGATTTTCTTTGACAAAATGCAAAAAAAAGTCCTTAAAATTGCAAACGTGCTTTAGATGGAAAGAGTTTATTTATATACTTATTTTTTTTTTAGATCTGAAGTCTCCCCTTGGATCACATAAAGCATTTCTTTGGTGGTTCTGTGGAGAACTGTGGGTTTGCCCAATGCTGGGTCCCCTCAGCTCTGCCCAGGCACGGGGGGACAGTGCACGGGCAGATCTGTGGAGTGGGACAGGGACCACAGGATGGAGTGGGACAGGGACCACAGGATGGAGTGGGACAGGGACCACCAGGATGGAGTGGGACAGGGACCACAGGATGGAGTGGGACAGGGACCACAGGATGGAGTGGGACAGGGACCACAGGATGGAGTGTGACTTTGGCCTTGGTTCTCTCTTGCAGCCTGAAGAACCAGTAGTAGCTGGTCAGTGGGGACGAGGACAAGCACTGATGCTGCTTCTGCAGAGAGGAGCGGGTCAGCAGAGAGGAGGCTTCCTTGGACAATGATCCCGTGTGGATTCAATAATTAACATGTAACTAACCTTCGCTTTGGACAAATACATGGATTTTTTTTTTTAATTTTGTGGTGAGTTAAAATATTTCGATGGATTTTTTTACCCTTTCAGGACAATATTTATTCAGCACAGAGTCTAGAGTATGATAACTATCCTGTAAATACAGCACTTATTCATCAGTCATCTTCAGGGACAGTGGAAACAAACTATTTTACTTTTTCATATTTATTCTTAGATTTCTCCCAAGAGCATAAGATTATTCTATTACATTATCCATGATAGTGATGTAATCAGTCTTCAATCAGAAATAAATACACTTTCTTCACCTTCTCCAGCATGGTTTGTGTCAACATAAAGAGCAACAGCAGTGAATCACAGGGACTGTGTAACGGATGAGCTTTTTCCTTCCCTCTTTGTCTCTGGAGAAACAAATGGTTCCATGAGCAAAGGACACTAAAATGAAAGGGTAAATTCCTTTTTTCCCTGCTGGTGGGATTCCTGCAGGCTCGACAGAAGCTGTTTGCTTGGTGGACTTTGATGCAAGCCCGAGGCTGGACGCTGCTGTGCCCACCAGCCAGCAGCAGCTCGTCCCTGTGCCTGCTCTGGGAGTCTGAGCAGAGAGAAGGAGCCGAGGCAGAGGAGTGACCTTCGCTGCTCCGCATCCTGGAGCTCTGCTGGGCGGGAGCCTCGACCCCTGGGCTCTGCCTGAGCCTCTGGTCCCGCCAGGGGATGGGTCAGGGGTGCTCCAGCATCACCTCCTTCGCTCAGGGGGGCCAGTGGAGCCACTGCAGAGGCTCTGTGTGATTAATTTGTGCTCTCGCATCGATGCCTTTCGTGTGCGGAGGAGAATGGGTTGTTCACAGATGAGTAAACATCTCCTTGGGTTTCGTAGCTGTGGGGTGGTTTCATTTATTGTGTTTTGGGTAATAACACAAGCTGCCAGTGTTCCTGAAGCTAAACTGCCTCTTTACAGAGAGAATGATTTACAGAAATAGGGCACATCAGTCATGCGGGTGCAGGGCTGACTCTTCTGAGCCTCCTTCCCCCAGAGGAGTCCTCCCCCAGGCGGCACCCAGGGTGCTGCAGAGGAGTTTTTGTCAGCAGAGAAAAACAAAAATCCTCTAACTGTGTGCTCTAGTAATCACTACAAGCTAATTGCAGCAAATTAATTACAGCACAAGCACAATTTCTTTCCCCAGGCAGGTGTGGAGACAGCTCTGCAGTGAGCTGGGTCAGACCTGGCCTCTGCTCCCAGCCTGTGCAAGGCTGGCTGTCCTCCTGCCCTGGCTCTGGGACCTGGCCCGGAGCTGGTGGCTTGCTTGGTCTAAGAGGATGAGTAAAGGCAGAGGTCCTGTCTCTAATTTAGGAAGATCCAGACTTTCTGCCCCTCCAGCACCTCTCGGGTGGGAGGTTTGTCCTGTGGCCCTTCAGAGCAGGAGGGTCAGCGCTGCCAGTGGGATTTCCACGTCCCACATCCCACCTCCCACACGGCCCAGGTGAGTGAGGAGCAGGTGAGTGAGGGTGAGGTGCCCCATCACCTCCCCCCAGCTCTCCTGGGGTGACAGAGCAGTGCAACGTTTGGGTTTGTTGCAAATATTGTCCTGGTCCAGTCAATCAGGCTTTGGCTCCTAAATCCTTCTAATCTCTTGCTTTTCCTAAGTTCATTAGGCCTTCAAAGCAAGACATAAAAGGACAAATCTCCTCGTGGTAAGTCAGTGATCCCTGCAGAAATGCTGCCAGATCTCTGATGTCGAGCCTGGTCCAACCACCCCAGGCTGAAACACTGTGAGTGGATGTATCAGAGAACTTTGAAAATGGTTCAGTGCAACCATTGTGTCCCCCAGGGTTACTTTAAACTGAAGGGTGAAAACACTTGCATGTATTTTTTTAATTAAAAAGAAACCAGACACACACTCTGCATTTTTCATGCATTCCATCTATCTATACATTACAGAATTTAGTTTTGTTCTGGCCAAATGTTTTCCCAGCTTAAAATTCTGTGCAAGATGTTCTGTAAGGGAAGTAAATCTCAATAACTTGTCATCAGTCTGGCTGGGTGTCACCCCACACAAACTTTGCAGAGCAGTGCTAACTGGAATAGTGCTGTCACTGGGAGACAGCTGGAAATGTGGTTATTAACACTGGAACTGTAATCTTTTGGATGTGTTTTATTAGATTTGTTGCCTGTAATAACGCAGCTCTCTAGGCTCTGGTGCAGATGTGCCACGTTGTGTTTTGGGGGCAAGACACTGTGGTGTTTTGTGCTCAGACACAGCACAACACAAGTGTGTGGTTTTATCTGGCTCCGTGTGGAGGCAACAGAGCTCTATGGCAACGGGGTGTAACGTGAGGCTGCCCCAGACAGCCTCACACAGAGATTAATCACAGGGGGAGAATGCTCCTGGTACCCAAGTGCTGCTTCCTTTGTTAAGTTCCTATTGCATCAACTTAATTAGCAAGTCCTGACCTTTAAAACCACCTTCCATAGTCTCCAAATTAAGTATGGGGAAGTCTGATTCCTCCTCGGGGCTGTGCTGGCAGCTCCCTGCTCCTGTCTGAGGCTGCTGACCCGACCAGCTGCCAGCCCTGTCCCACCAGGAGGGGCTGTGCAGGACCCCCAGGGCTGGGGCACCTCTGGAGACAGGTGGGACCCAGTTTGGGGGTTGAACTTTTGGGATCTCAGGAGAGAGAGCAGGTATCCATTAGCACTGCAGTGTGTTCCCCATGAAGTTACTGCACTGGGCTCAAGTGTAGGACTTTATGATGGATTTTGTAGAGGGCCACTGCTCCCTAATCGAGCCCCGTCTCCTGCTCGTGGGTCTCTGACAAAAGCCTTTGTCTAACATGGTTTTAATCAGTGTGTGCATTTCAATTTGCATATTAATAGCAAGGAACTCTTATTACAGCTGCTGTTGATGAGATGGTGTCAAGCCCATCTTCCCATCTGAGGAAAGAAAGAAACTGCATCTATTGTATGAAGAATGACATTGGCAGAAAACATGTCCATTCTTTGCCTCTATCTTCCTTTATCTCTGCCTTTATTTTGCTCTTGATGGCTCATATGGATGCATTCATTAGTCTTTTCTTTTCCCCTTATAACAAGGATCATTTACCAGGAGACTAAGACAGGATTTCTCCCTGTTGTGGCAGCTCCAGGCTAAATACCACAGTTCTGTCTGGCGTTTTTAACTTGGAAAATGGCAAAAGGTGGCCCCGGGCTGGGAGCTGTTTGTTGTAGCAACCCAGAACAGTTAACGTGCCATCATGAACCACGGCACTGCCTCCTCTCCAGGGTCCAGCCTTTCCCAGCTCCAGAGGTGTTGGCGTTGCCATCCATCCCGGTGCCGGTGGAGCCGCTTCCCGTGGTCCAAGTGGCAGCAGGGGCAGCTGGAACGTGGCTGCTGTGGCACGTTCAGGAGGAGTGGGGTGAGAGAGGGCTCGTGGAGCGGCTCAGAGCGAGCCCTGAGCGAAGGGGAGCTTCACTCAGTAGAAATGGGAAATGCAGAGGAAAATTCCGCGGAAAAACCAGCCCGTGGAAGGAGCTGGAGGAAGAGTGAGCCCTGCAGTGAGGGGGGTGCTGCTCATGCACATTTAATGAGAGCAGTGCTGGTCTTAGCAGACAAACGACCTCGATTCACCCACTGCTCGGTGCTATCGATTCAATGGCTTCTCCTAATGAGGAAATTATTGTCTGCGTTAGGGAATGTGGAGCCCAGCAGGTGCACAGCATTAAGGGATGAAAAACCCAGCTTTGCCGGTGCCAGGAACACGATGGTGCAGTGCCAGGGACGAGGGGGGCCCTCGGGTGGACGCTGTGAGGAGGCTGCCTCTGTGTTCAGCCCTGCAGAGGTTTGTGCCACTGGGCGTTTTGGTTGGGGCTGCCAGGAGCGGGGCTCTGGCTCTGCTGGGCACCACTGGGGGTTCTTTGCTCAGCCTGCCCTGGCATCAGGCCCCGGCTGCTCAGGGGATGCCTTTGGCTGCTCCCCCTGTTTGAACAGGGGGGTCTGGCCCGAGTCCAGCTCAGGTGGTGCATCTCTAAACCACCAGGGTGCTGTGTCCATTGCTCCCACCATGACTCGCTTTCTAATGCAGATTTTTAGTTCATTAGTGCAGTGGTGCATTAAAATGGATCTCGGTAAAAAGGCTAAGCTAATGTAAAAAATGCCAAATGATTCCTCCCCGCCCTCCCCCCCAAATTCTCTGATTCATTTTTGCCTTGACTTGGGCAGAGGGAAGGGCCAATGTTCTGCAGAATTCAGTCTGCTGGCTGGGGAGTCCTGGGCACTGAGGCCCTGAGGACTGTGTGTGTCAGACCTGCAAGACTTCAGGATCCATCCCTGGAACAGACCGAGAGGTGACGGAGAGACTGTCGTGTTTTGCTTCATTCCCGATGGAATTGGACGGGGATTTGTGGTAAGTTTACCCCTGAGCCAAATTGGAAAAGGCAGAGGAAAAAGGAGGACAAGATCTAAAGGTTTTCCCTGTAGGGAAAACCAACATCCCCACTGAGCTAAAACTTCAGAGAGCAGAGCTAAAAGTGAGGTGATGGGCTCTTTCTGGTGCTCTGACTGGGCATTGTCTGGGGCCACTGAGCAGTAAGTGCCTGCAGGCTCTGGAAACAGGAGGGTGAGATCACTGCCCTTGTGCCCAAACCCTCTCCAAATGCCCTGGCTGCAGCCTCTCCCCAGCACTGCTCGGGTGCTTATTTCACCCTCATAATTAGTCCTATGTAATTTACTATTAGTGTTGTAGTAGTGAGGATCTAAGGCTATGGGATAATTAGGTTTATAGTGAAATTAGAGTATCCAGTCCATAGATTTAGAGACTGGACGGGCTTTAGGGCAACAGATTCTTCTTTGGGTCTGGAATAGGAACAAGAAGCTCCAGCTAGATCCAGACTTGAAAACAACTCAGCTTCA